ACCTGAATGTCTGACCTGTGTCTTTCCAAGATGCAAATGCAGTAAGTCCTTTATAATTAATTTTTATTTAACATTTATTGAGTACAAAAAGGTCACTAAGCCCTGGGTAGAATACAGAGGTACTCCCTGTCCTTGTCTTTTGGACAGAGGAATTCCTGAAATTAAAATACCTAGTAGATGACACAAGTGACAGCATATCATAGTAGACAGACTTCAGTTTGTAGTCAAAAAGACCTGGGTTTCTGCCACCAGTATCAACTAGCTATGAGACCCAGGGCAAGTCACTGGACTCCTTTGAGCCTCAGTGTCTCATCGGAAAAAACAAGGTGATTGCATTAAATAGTCTTTGAGTTCCCTTCCAACTTTGGAATGATGATATGGTTCTTTTGTTTGTTAAATATTTTATTTTTTCCAATTACATGTACAATTTTTTCTTTAACATTTTTATTGTTTGTTGGATTTTTGGGGAGGCAATTGTAGTTAAGTGACTTGCTCAGGATCACACAGCTAGTATCTGAGGCCAGATTTGAACTCAAGCCTTCCTGACTCCAGGACCAGTGCCATATCCACTGTGCCACCTAGCTGCCTCTTTAACATACTTTTTTCAAAAATTTTGAGTTCCAAATTCTCTCCCTCCCTGCCTCCCCTCCCCACTCCTTGAGAAGGCAATCAATTTGATATAAGTTATATGTTTATAATCATGTAAAATATATTTCTATATTAGTCATGTTGTGAAAGAAAACACAGACCAAAAAACCCTCAAGAAAAAAGAAAATAAAAAATAGTATGCTTCATTCTGCACTCAGACTCCCTAAATTCTTTCTCTGGAGGTAGATAGCATTTTTCTTTTGAGTCCTTTGGAATTGTCTTGAATCATTATATTGCTGAGAATAGCTAAGTCATTCACAGTTGATCATCATATAGTATTGCTGTTACTGTGTACAACGTGCTCCAGGCTCTGCTCACTTCACTTTCCATCAGTTCATGTAAGTCTTTCCAGGCTTTTCTGAAAGCATCCTGCTTGTCATTTCTTATAGCCCAATAGTAGATGATGTGATTCTTAATTGCTCTGAGCTGCAGGAAATTATTTTGTGTAATAATTCTCTACTAAATTATAAACAGGTTTGGAATTTTAGTGCTGAAAGGAGTTCTCACAATGGGAGTTTTCTATGCTTATGAAATCTACCATCCTTCATATGGTAGATGACACAAGGCTAGTAACTGGGCAGAGGCAAGGATGTGCACACATAAAGTCTCCATTACATAGGAAATTCAAAACCTGGACTATCAGTTCAAATCACTCAGCTAATGGCCTCCACTGTTTGTTTCATTTTGCTAGAGAAGAAAGCTAAGGCCTATTGTTGCTTTTCCTCAGAAAGTTTTATTGCATTCTTCTTATTTTTCAATTTAAGTCAATAATAACATTTTGTTGATCTGTATGGGTTTTCAGTATTGTAGAGTTAATTGTGGTGTTATTGAAAATATCAAGCATTCTTTCTTAACGATCCACATATAAGGCAGATTTCTTTATTGGAGCCATAAATATTGAACTCCTGGTTATGACCAAGACAGGGGAACAATGTATGAGCTTGGTCTTCTGTGTCTAATATATAAATGTAGAAGGCAAGAAAACAAAACTGGGATCAAGCATACCACTCAACTCTGGCTACATGGCCAAGAGAGGATAAGGGCTCCTTTGCTTTTTAATGGGACTGTGTAGCTTCCTAACTGCTTTTTTTTACTCTTAACTTTATTCTGGACACTTGGGGCTAGTTGATGATGAAACAGGCAGGAGAATGCCCAATGTGGATGGTGGCTGTCCTTAAACTACCTGGTTTAGTGACTAGGAAATCTGTAGACCCTCAAAAGAATTTTGCTTTCTACCTTTAAGGCGTTGTTTCCATTTGTCTTCCAAAGCTACAATGCATCTGTGATCTGACGGAGGTAGGTTCCTCTTCCAGTGATGGACATAGCAGCTAAAACAAGTTATTTGTCCTAATATAGCATAATCAACAACAAGAGAGACTGTATTGTCTGGGAGAAGGGTCAGGGGAGTTGGAGATCTGGGTTCAAATCTCGGATCTTCTCCTGGCTAGCTATATGATTTGGGGCATGCCACTTCCCCTTGTGGGGGCTGCTACAGTCGTACTACTTAACCTCACAGGGTGATGGTGAGGGAAACTTCCTGTAAACTTTAAAGAGCTAGAGAAATGTGAGTTATTATTAAATGATCAGATAATTAGGTAGTCAGAGGTGGCAACATGGGGAAGACAGTGGCTAAGACCAAATGGGAAAGCCCTACTGGTCTCAATGTTTTAGCACAAGTGCTGGCTGGTTACCGCTTAGGTCATGCGTTAGAGCTTAGGATTGGAGCAGAGAATGGCAAAGGTCAGACACACTCTGGGTTTTCTGTACTCTTTTTTTTTTCCTTGAAATGTTAATCTCTTATTAGTGTTGGCGGGAAGTTAATGCACTTGGTGCATTCTTTGTTTCCTTTATCCTCTGCCAGGTATTTAAAACAGGGATTAACAAACTACAGGCCCCAGGGCCATACAAAAATTCTGCATTTGATCTGCGAGGCTCTATTTTGTCACCCCATCTTAAAAGAAGCATTTGGATGCAGTTTCCATGTTGATAATGCAAAAGGATGTAGGGAATAAAAGTCGATGCAAAAGTTAGCTTCAACTCAGATAATGTGATACTGGTGGGAAGTCAGCATAGGGGAAAGCTGAGAGGGCAATTTTAGCCTCAGTCTAAGATGGGATCCTCCTGGCTCAGTTTCCCCATTATGTTGCTTTGAAAGAGAATGTTACCCACCTGGCTATTCCTGAGTCTGACTATGATGTGGATTTGATACTGCATGGTTGGAAAACTGAATTATCTAAATCCAAACAGAGCTAAGGATGTTTTATCCTCTCAAAGTTGGGCCCTAAATCAAGTCCCTGCTTTATATCTGGACCCTGCAGTTTTTTCTGTCAGATTTGTGTCTTCCAGACTACAACCATTCACCTACAGTTGGTAGCAAACAGCGGGTACCAACCGACATCCCCAGATCGTTCCCCGGGTGCAGTCTGTGCTTGGTTCCAGTCAACCTCCTCTTTGGGACCCCCTCGAGGCAGGGACAGCTCTACGTCGCTTGCCAGCAGGAAGCAGTTCCAGAAGCTGAGACCTTCGCCCCATACTCCAAAAGAATTGGGGTCCCATTTGTTTGAGGGGCTAATGATGGGCTTGGGATCTAGACCCTAGAAAGGAAAAACCCTGGACTTTCCCACGTGGCCAAGTCCCCTGAAGCTATAATCCCATCAACTGGCCTTTCATTGTGGACCTCCCTATGGCCCCAGGCCACTTCTCCATTCTCCCTTGGCCAGGGGGTTCAGGTCCCTGGAATTTTATTCTACTTGGCTACTCCTAGAGCCCTCCCATAGGCTTTCTGTATAATCTAGCCACCGCCTAGATCCTTATCATCTAGCCACCGCCTAGATTCTTATAATCTAGCCACTGCCTAGAGTCTTATAATCTAGCCACTGCCTAGAGTCTTATAATCTAGTCACTGCCTAGATTCTTATAATCTAGCCATAGCTTGCTAATGTTCAGACTCCTCAAGAGTCTGCCCAATATGATGGATGTTCTAATAAACCTTGCCTTTGGCTGAAAAAAAAAAGTTAGCTCCAATTTATAGAGTGGGGAGGGAGGGAACTTTATTTTTCTCATCAAGGTACAGGGACCTTCACTGGAAGTCCCTCTACCTTCCACCAGTGAGGTTGGTAACAGGTTGCCTAGAATACTGAAAGGTTCTATATGTATGTATGTATGTATGTATGTATTAGGGGTAGGGACAGGCCTTGGAGTCAAATCTTCCTGATTTGGATACCTCTTCTCCGCCCACTAGGCCACATTGCCTTTTTTCTTCCCCCTCAACAAATCCTGTTTGTGAATATTAATGATATACTGCATACTGCTGGGGATGACCTTTGTCTTTCTTAATTAAGATTTTTCTGAGGCCTCATTTGAAGGAGTGGGAAGAGCAGGGTGGGGAGGGGGAAAGAACTCATCCTATTTTAAAAATTTCCCATTTTAATTATTCTTGCTAACTGGCCATTAAGCTCAATTGTTTCTATGTTGTTGGAAGTCTGTTGCTTCTATGCTGCAAGTGTCCTCTAAATTTGGCACCCTGGGATAAAGTCCTCTGGCCTCATCCTAGTTATACTCTTTGCCAGTAGCATCAAACTGGCTATACCTTCAAACTGGTGCCAGCAGATGGGCTTGGACTTCTGCTGATGCTCATTTTGTTGGTTTCGTTATTGGCAGTGGTTTACTAATTCATTGTCACTTTTGAGAAATTGTTCTTGTGCCCCCTACCAATTATGATGAGTGTTGCTATGCTCTGTCCTTAACATATGGCCTTCTTCTTTTAATAAGTGAGGTTGTTGGGAACCCCACAAGGGAAACAATGATTAACAGTATCTACTCTTGTTTTATGATGTTCTTGAAAAGGGAAAGGGGCTGCTATCCAGATTCCCTGCCCACCCCTAACCCCCACCCCACCTCTAAGGAGGACTTGTAGGATCATAGCTTCTAAATGCGGATGAGACCTCAGAGGTTTTCTACTTCAATCCTCTCACTAAACAAATGTAGAAGGGGCAGCTAGGTGGCGTAGTGGATAGAGCACTGGCCCTGAAGTCAGGAGGACCTGAGTTCAAATGTGACCTCAGACCAAACACTTGACACTTACTAGCTGTGTGACCCTGTGCAAGTCACTTAGCCCCAATTGCCTAAGAACAACAACAACAACAAAAAAAACAAATGCAGAAAATGAGGCACAGAGAGATGCTGAGACATGACCATAGTCACATAGGAGCAGAGCCAGGAAGCACACTTAGGTCTTTTGACTCTTCCCACTAAAGTAGCTTGCATTGTCTATAGACTGTTTGCTGTCAAACAGACTTCTATGACTGAGGTAGGAGTGGCTGCTGGATCTGAAATAAAATGAGGAGCCCTTGTGCTGTATGCAAGTGTAATCGGATGAATTTTATTTTAAGTTTCCATTACATTTTGGTTAATTCGAATATGCAAATGAATAAAAGCATACAAAGTCAAGGTGGTTTATAGTATAGCAGAAACTTTTAGAAACTTGGTTACCGAAAGATTCAGCAGAAGCTCTTGAGACTACTTAATAGAAGTGATTAAAAAAAAAAAACTTTAGCATTGATTAATTAACACTCTTATAGGACGAATGTCTAGGTGCCCGGGAAGGGCATCCAAGGCCCAATTTTCCACCAATGGTGGCCGTATGTACCTGAGCATGCAATTCTATCCTCTCTGACCCCTCCACCTCCCTTCTCTATCCTTCTGTACAGCTTTACTAAGAATCACAGTCTGCTAATCTAGACTATTCTCTTGGGCATTTTAGTAGACTTTTAACATAAACCAGCATCACAAATAAGCACTGGCCCAATTGTACCATTCCTCTCAGGTAATAAAATGAATGAATGCAACATTTTTTTACCATTTGCCTGAAAGCATCACAGAGCTAGCGGCCATTTCCAAGACTGAGTAAATCTAAGTTTCCAGCACCTCAGTACAAGCAGAGGTTACTGCATGAAAGACAGAGGTGTCTGGAGAGATTTAGTAGGTATCAATCCTCCATCTATGCTCAGCCACCAAACTCACCCCTTCCTCCACAGCATCAGCCTAGTTGACTTGACTCTAAGGGATTTCTAGGGCCTGAATTTTGGGGGAGGCGAATGATTCAGGAGACATAGGCAAAGTGTGAATTTAAAGTAGTGAGACAGATTCTACACACTACACAAATCTGTCTTAGTACTTTATAGCCATACTTCATTAACTCTAGGAGCTAAAAGGCTCCTGTGCATGAGGCCACAGTCTGACATCTCCTATCAAAGGCACCATAAAGCTGTCTTATTTTTAAAGGGCTGAGTGGTATCCTTGCTTCCTCATCTTCTAGGTGATTACATCCCTCATAAATGTAGTTTGTTAAGATGGGGCCACATCTTTTCACACAGTCAATCTGTGAAATTTGGCAGGCAGTTCCTCTGAGACTTTTGGAAAGGCCTTCCCCTCCCATAACCCATATAGAGAATACAGCTGTGACCTGTGGGAGGGTGTGTGGTCAGAAACATTCATGGGCCAAAAGCACAAAAAAAAAAGGACTTGGATCAAGGTGGGGGGGGTCTTTTTGGAGGGTCTTTCTCTGTTCATTTGTAGATTTATTTCCCTGGGCACTGGAAATCTTGTCTGAAATCAAATCGGGTCATGGGCAAATTACTTGGGTCAGAAAATCCCTCTGATTAATGGAATCTGAGCCATTTGCCATGATAAGTGATAACTTTTAGTTTGATGAGCTATTAGAGCTTAATTAGAGCTTAATTAAAGCAAATGCTCAGAACATTTTAGAAGCTGGAATTATGCAACATCTCTCCAGTCTGTCTGCTCGCACCTTCAGATTGAGGAGGTGGAATTTGGAAAAGTGTGGTAGAGAGCTTCTCGGTGGATGTCGAATGCATCTCAGCCCTTTTCCTTCTTGACCTTGCCTTCTGGAATGTGTAATGTGCTAGCACCTAGATAAAATAAGAGCTGGCCTATCTTTGCATCAGAATGTCTTAACCAAGGCATGGAGAAGCTGTTTCCACCTTCTCCCTTACAGGTTTACATCTATTGCCTCTTCTGAATCTTTAGCTGAAGCTCCCCATACACGTGTCTCAAGGCATCACAGTTCAGCGTAGCCATCAGTTTGCGTGAGCCAGGGACCCAGGGCCGACATACTTCTTCCCACGTCAAGGTAGAATTGGGTGGAAGTTCACTGAAAGGATGAAAAAGAGAGAAACATGAAAGAAGTTTTACTTTTCATACAGGCAGATCCTGATTCCCAATAAGGAGTAGTAAGAACTATGTGGGTCATTCAACCTGGCTTCTTGAAGGAACATGCTTCCCAAAGTGCACATGGGAAAATCCAGATGTGGAGACAGTGATAGATGTGGAACTAGGAGAGCCCTTAGAGGCCAGCTAGTCTAATCCTCTCATTTTAGAGATGAGGAAACCGAGGCTCAAAGAGGTTGGTTAGTTTGCCCAAAGTAATACAAACAGTTAAGTGACAGTGCTAGAATTTGAACTCAGGTCTCCTGACTTTAAATATAACACTCTTTCCTTTGTACCATGCTGCTACCCACTATGCCCTACTGCTCATCTGTGCTGTGGAGTGTTCTATTACTGGGCTCTGTGAATGAATTACAACCAGAACTAGATTGAATGACATGAGGTTTGTCCTCATCTCTTATTTATTACTCTATGTTGGATAGACTGCAGTGGGTCTTCTCTGTCTCCAGTTCCTTTGGTGATCTACTCTGGTTCACTGTCCCCTAAACATACTATGTGCCCTCCTATATCCGTGCCTTTCCTGATGCTATTTCTTAGGTCTGAAATCCCTTCTCTGCCCTTTTCCTGTTGAATTCTGATCCAGCCTTTAAAAGCTGAATTCAAATGCTACTTTCTCCATTAAATGCATGATTAATACTCTTCCCCCTCAAACCTTCTATCGTACATTTTCATCATCACTGGTTTGTACAATGCAATCATCATGTAATATTATATATCATGTTAGATCTAGACCTACAAGCCTTGGGACAAATCACACTGAAAATGCTTATTAGCTATATGACCACAGACAAAATACTCAATTTTCTTATCTGTAAAATGGAGATAATAATACTTGCCTTTTATACCTCACAAGGTTGTTGTGAGGAAAGGCCTTTGCCAACCTAACATGCTATATAATTAAGAATTGCTACAATGACAACTGTTACTACTACTTACTACTTATCATTACTACTATTTACTACTACCAACTACTACTAATACTACTTCTATTTACTACTTACTACTACTACTACTAGTACTTACTATTACTATTACTACTAATGACTACTTACTACTCCTCACTACTACTATTTACTGCTTATTAGTACTAATACTTACAATTACTATTACTAACTACTATTATTTATTACTAACTACTACTTACTATTTACTACTACTACTTAATCCTACTGTTGCTACTACTATTACTATTTGCTACTATTACTTACTATTTACTATTACTACTACTTACTATTTATTACCACTACTAACTACTACTTACTACTAGTAGAACTATTTACTACTACTAACTACTATTTACTACTATTGCTACTGCTACTACTTAAGACTACTGCTACAACTACTATTATTTACTACTACTACTACTACTACTACTATCTATTTACTATCACTACTACTACTTCTAACCTCCTTTATAAACTATGAGGTCACAAGCTAGGCAAGACATAAAGTTTGAATAGGATACAGCTTTATATCTTGCCCAGCATCTGGCACAGATGTATGCAGTAAGTGCTCAATAAATGTTTGTTGAATAAATGTTCACTTGTTGAATGAATGAATGAATTTAACTAAAAATGTTCATTACAAGTTTCACTCATTAACTCTCAAGCCTCAGGAAGTACCTTCTCTATTATTCCGAGTTTAGAGACTCTTGTCTAAAGGCTTGCATTTAAGGGCGAGGGAGGGCAAGGTGGTCCAAGCCTCTGTATGTCTCTATTCACTCCACTCTGTGGGCCCATGCCTCCATGATGCAAATGTTTTTGGTACCATGAGGTCTGATTGGATAAGTTTCTTGGAGACCATCTCAGAGTAGGAGGATTGGCATTTCTAGATCTCTGTTGGACACAAGGACATATTCCTAATTTTACCTCATGTTTGTATAGCATTTTGCCTAATCATTGTTTTCAAGTGCTTAGGTCTTTAAGTATTGATCTGGAGCTGGAAGGGACCTTAAAGGTCATCTAGTCCATCTTATAGATGAGGAAACTAAAAACCATGGAGGCTAAGTGACTTGTAACCTCAAATGCAAACTGCTTTGCTTGGTATTTAAAAGCTATTTTAACCTGGCTCCTTCTTACTTTCCAGCCTTCTTCCACCCTCCCCTTCTCTAAGACCATATGATCACCTATGCTGGCCTATTGCAATTCCACAAAGGTAACGCTCTCCCATCTCTGTGTATACCCTGGTGGTCCCTTATGCCTAGATTGTCTGACTGCCTGATTGATCACTGACTGACCAAGGTCACGTGGGTAGATGAGTATCAGAAAGGTTTAAGCAACTAGATAGCTTATATGGAGAATGGAGTCAAGACTCAATTGGGTCTTTTAACCCTTGGCTATATCACCCTGCTTTTCCTAGTCTCAGGACTTGGCTATATCATTTGAGCACTCTGGGTGTTAGACTACTCAAAGCATTTTATCGTCAGTAAAAAAAGAGGGTCAATCAGTGGATCTCTTTATTTTCTTTTATAACTAATAATTCTATGATGCTGTGATTCTATAAAACCATATAATGCCTTTCCTGAGTTATGGATATTGGTCAGTGAGGTTGTAGAGAAGTTCTGCCTTCTCTCTATTGTCCTGTCTAGCCTAAGTAGTGATCTATGCTTTCTTTGATCTTCTTTTTCCCTCCCATTCTCCATGACAGGAGCTCCCTCTGCTGGGACATCTGGACCAGGGGTAGGAGTGGGAATGGTTCAAGGCAGTTGCTGAGGAGGAGTGGGGTGTGGCATTTCCACCATGGTTAGCTGCAGTCTCTTCCTCATCCTTTCCCTTTTTCCTTGGTGGGCCTTCCCAATACCTAGCATATTAGGTATGGCGGCCTCCAGGCTAGGTCAGTCATGAAGGAGACAGTTTGACAGCCTTGCCCTTGGAGGTATGGGAAGCCCAAACAGTTGGGAACTAGAGTTGGAAGATGTACCTGAGTTCCTACTGCAGGTGAGAAAAAGCTTTTCTATATTCCTAACTTACTTGATTGGTTTCCATGGTGACTGTTGATACAAGGGGGAATAACGTTTGACATCCTTTGCACTTTAGAAATCTGTTCTATTCATTTCCTTTGATAAGTAAGATTGGTTTTATTACTACTTTAACCCCTGAACCTGGATTACTGGACTGGCCTAGCTAATGCAGGGCCCAGGATACTTCATCTTTTTCCTCCCCACTCAAAAAAAATTCCTTTATACTCCTGTCTTTACATGTCCATTCCCAGACTCAGCTTTAGAGCACCAAACACTATTATGCTCACACACCATGCTTTTGTATTCATCTGTCTAGGACATAATTCTCTGCATTTCATCAGATAGTTGAATGCTGGCTTCTGAAGAGCTGATACTTGGCTAAAGAAAGGACCTGCTCAGCAGAATGGACAACCTGGGTTGATAGTGACCAGAGGGGCAAAATTAGCAATAAAAAAAAAAGTTATAACATACCAAATAGAAATCTGACTAAAGCTCTGATTCACTTCAGTGTTACTGAAATTGTTGCTTCTATAGGGAATTTAGTGTAAGATCTGTCTAATACCTAACACATTTTTAGCTGCTTAAAAGTTAATAACAAATTGGAAATATTGGTACATGGGCTATGAATAATCCTGAGTAAAAACTGACCTTGTATGTTCTGGGATACATTTATATTCCAAAATAGTCCTGCCTGAATATGTGGTTTATGCTAATAATTAGAAGCACCTATTATGATAACAGGAGGTTTACTTGTCTCTACTCATTCAAAAAACAAAACAAAAGACAAAGTATGAACCAAAACAAAATTATAGTTTTATATCATACAATTAATAATTCTTATTTTTATCATAAGATTTATTATATTTATTTATATTATACAATGAATATATCGTGGCTGGGTCTGTACCAAACAGTGTACTTGGATGAAAAGTTAAAAAAAAAAATCAGGTGAGCTGTTCAGTTATGTCTGACTCTTTTTGACCCCATGGACTATCACAGCATGGCAATACTGTCTATGGGGTTTTGTTGGCAGAGACACTAAAATGGTTTGCCATTTCCTTCTCCACCCATTTTACGAATGAGGAACCTAGATAAACCTAGGTAAGTGACTTGCCCAGGGTCATGGGGCCAGTAAGTGTCTGAGGTCAGATTTTAACTCAGATCTTCCTGACTCTAGGCCCAGCACTTTATTCACTAAGGCACCTAGCTGCCTCTACGGTTAACTTTGCTGTTAAATAGTAATTGGGAAGCACAGTGCTAGGTCTGGAGTCAAGAAGACCTGGGTTAAAATCTTACCTCAGACGCTGCCCACGTGACCCTGGGCAAGTCATTTAATTTCTGCCTACCTCAGTTTCTTCAACTGTAAAATGGGGAAAATAATAATTTCACCTACCTCATAGAGTTGTTGTGAAGATCAAATGAGATAATACTTGTAAAGTATTAAAGTGCTTGGCAGACAGTAGGCACTTAATAAATGCTTGTTCCTTTCTTCCCTGTTGTTGTTTATAGGATGACTACTATCTCATAGTGGTAATAATGGTAATTCTGAATCCCTAGTGGATAGCACAATGACAGAAACATAATTTAACCTTACATTTGTTTGTATGTTGATTGGCTATTTTACTGAATGGACTAATTTGACTTTGTTTTTGGCGTTATGTAGATATGATCTATTTTAGGACAAATTTTCAGCCGAATATAAAATAAAGTGGGAAATCTGGTTGACTTAATTAGCAGGCTCCTTTTACTGAGTGTAGATGGTCAATCCAAATTTGCTTAGTGTCTGAAGTGATTTTTTTCAGCCTGTTACTAAGCTGAGTCATCTGTAATTGTAATAGGGTTAGGATCTCTCCACCTCTCTTCCCTCCCATTCATATATGGATTAAAAAGCACTTAATCTGAGGCCAGAGCAGTCTAAATATATCTAAGTTATAAATAAGTCAGAGTTTTATGCTTAAAATTCAAGT